GCTCCTGGCTTGCCCTGTGACTTATGATCGTGCCTGCTTTGGTGTGGGGGAAACTGAAACGGCTGCTGCTCAAGGTGATGCCGGGTTCTAGGAGGAAACTCACATTGTTGCATATTCACTTCTGCATTTCTCTTTCTCTGTATGGGTGTAACCATCCTGCCACAACATCATGCTGCGCCTGTGATTAGAAACAGACTGATTTTTAGATTCATACTTGAAGAATATTACCCTGTCTGATCACACTGGGACTTTTCAGCCCTGATTCCAGAGCCGCTTGAAAGTGTCCTGAGAGCTGCAGTGGGACCCTCTGTTGCCTGAGTCCCTCCAACCCCTGCCAGTCACTCCTCTACCATGTCCCTTACACTGTCCTACCTCCTCTAGTGCCACCAGGTCAGCTGTCACTATGGATGTGAAACCTTCTTAGGTGATGGCAGAAACAGTCTGTGGAGTCCCAGCCTATTTCTCCTCCCTAGCTTCTCTCCTGGAACACGGTAGCAGAACCAGGTGGAAGATGAGCCAGAAATGCCCCACTTTGCCTGACCTTGTTAGGTCATGATCTAAATTACAAGTAAGCCAGCTCAACTTTACCCACATGGCAGCTATTATACCATCACCAAGATGCTTGACCATGCTTAAAGCTCCGTGTGGCAAGGACTGCACCGATGCTCAAAGAGGGGATGTGTGCTGAATGCCTTGCAAGATGGGTCTTCTAGTGCTTTATCAGCAACCAGAGGGACACCCTGGGCTGATCTGCTAAACACGGGTCTGGGAAGAAGGAAAGCTTACCAAACCAAGGCAGGAACGCCCAGGAAGAAATCAAAGGTGTGACACACTGCTTACCAACATGTGCCAGGTGAGATGACTGGCAGGAGTGACTCACTGTGGATTACCACTGTTTACTTATTCATATTGCTAACCTTGGAAAAAGAGAATAATTTAACAGGAGCCAGCAGTTGGGGCATTTGGTCACTCAGGGAGAAAGAAGCATTTAGAAATGGAAGCTATTTGTGAAAGGACTGTAGGAGCTGACCAGAAACCTGTGAGTTGGATTCAAAGGGCTAAATTCTAATCTGAAGCAAAATTTATTAATAAATCAGCAGTCAGCAAAGATAACTGGAACTGTGCATATATGCCATGTGTGTGAAAGCTTCCACAGATCTCTGGATGCAAATCATTATGGAAAGGGAAAGCATTACAGGACAGATGAGGATGGTGTAAAAGTACTAGCAAGAAGTCAGAACCTCTGGTTATGAAACTAGAGATGTGTGGAACATTTAAGACTGGGATTTCAGTAATTAGGCAATTAATTATTCCTTGGAATTTTAGAGTCTGAGGCCAGTAATGTCACCAAGAATTTCCTATTCTATTACAAAACTTAAAGTTGAATTTAAAGATGTAAGTATCTGTCTAAGCAGGTATTTAGATACACTTCCATTTAGATATCACTGCCTGATACAGCCATGGGTGAGTGAGCCACCTAGGAAAGGCACCACACTGGACCTGCTGTTTGCAAACAGAGAAGGTCTTGTGGGGAATGTAATGGTTGGAGGCCATCTAGGGCATAGTGATCATGAAATGATAGTTTTTGATTTCTGGAGAAGTAAGGAGGAGGTTCAGCAAAACTGCTACTGTGGACTTCTGGTGGGCAGACATTGGCCTGTTTAGGAGATTGGTTGACAGAGTTCCTTGGGAGGCAGTCCTGAAGGGCAAAGGAGTCCGGGAAGGTTGGGCATTCTTCAAGAAGGAAATCTTAAAGATACAGGAACAGCCCGTCCCCATGTGCTGACAGACGAGCCAGTGGTAAAGAAGACCAGCCTGGCTGAACAGAGAACTTTGGCTGGAACTCAGGGAAAAAAAGGAGTTTATGACCTTTGGAAGAAGGGGCCGGCATCACAGGAGGAATACAAGGATGTCATGAGGTTATGCAGGGAGAAAATTAGAAAGGCCAAAGCCCAACTAGAACATAATCTGGCTACTGCAGTAAAAGGCAATAAAAAATGTTTCAATAAATACATTAGCAACAAAAGGAGGGCCAAGGAGAATCTCCATCCTTTATTGGATGCAGAGTGAAATATAGTGATGAGGGAAAGGCTGAGGTACTTAATGCCTTCTTTGCTGCAGTCTTAAATAGTAAGACCAGTTGTTCTCTGGGTATCCAGGCCTTTGAGCTGGAAGACAGGGACTAGGAGCAGAATGAAGTCCCCACAGTCCAAGAGAAAATGGTTAGTGACCTGTTACAGCACTTAGACACACACAAGTCCATAGGGCTAGATGGGATCCACACAAGGGTACTAAGGGAGCTGGTGGAAGTGCTTGCCAAGCCACTTTCTATCATTTATCAGCAATCCTGGCTAACTAGGGAGGTCCCAGTTGAGTGGAAGTTGGCAAATGTGACGCCCATCTACAATAAGAGCCAGAAGGAAGATCCAGGCAACTACGTACTTGTCAGTCTGATCTGGGTGCTGGGGAAGGTTATGGAGCAGATCATCCTGAGAGTCATCAAATTGCATGTACAGAACAACCAGGTGATCAGGGACAGTCAGCATGGCAGGCAGGTCCTGCTTGGCTAACCTGATCTCCTTCTATGACATGGTGACCTGCTTAGTGGATGAGGAAAAGGCTATGGATGTTGTTTACCAGGACTTTAGTAAAGGCAGAGGTGCTGGAACGTGTCCAAAGAACAGCAATGAAGCTGGTGAAGGGTCTGGAGCACAAGTCTTATGAGGAGCAGCTGAGGGAACAGGGATTGTTCAACCTGGAGAAAAGGAGACTGAGGGGAGACCTTATCACTTTCTATAACTGCCTGAAAGGGGTTGTAGCAAGGTGGATGTCAGTCTTTTCTCCCACGTAACAGGCAATAGCACGAAAGGAAATGGCCTCAAGTTGCACCAGGGGAGCTTTAGATTGGATATTATGAAAAAATTTTTACCAAATTGGTTGTCAAGCATTGGAACTGGCTGCGCAGGGAAGCAGTTGAGTTACCATCCCTGGAGGTATTTAAAAGATGCGTACATGTGGTGCTTGTGGACATGGTTTAGTGGTGGATTTGGCAGTGCTGGGTTAATGGTTGGACTCGATCTTAAAGGTCTTTTCCAACCTAAATGATTCTATTATTCTGTTCTTTAAATTTAAACTGGTACTTTTCTCCTACCCATAACAGTGCTCTTTACTGTCACTAACTGTTCTTCTTGCCCAGTCCAATTAGGTTTCTGTGGGCCAGGAACAAATTGTAATGCTTGATTACACTTTGTTACTACTTTTAGTTTTTCGGGTTTTATCCCCTGCTAACTTCCTTCCAAGGAAACATGTACAAACAATTCTGTTTGTGTGAAGGAAACACTGCACTTATTTTGAAACAGTACCATTAATGCTCTATTGAGCTGCAACTGAGCTCTTTGTATTGCATAATCCTTAATGCAGGATGGTGTTGCATGACATAGCTCTGCTTTCATATCTTATTCATCAGGGTGACGCCAGTATAGGTCAACAAAGATAGCAGCAATACTGATTTCTTCTACTAACTCTATCCAAAGGAAAATGCCTTCTCTGCACCAAGAGTCACTGTCTAGTGGGCTGAAAGAGGCAAGAGAGACAGGAATTCCTGGGATTTATTTTTGATGTTTTTGATTCACTGGGATCACGTCCACCAGGATAAGTGCAGAAAGAGATGGGAAGCTCCCAGGTGGTCAGACACAGCCAGATCTGCCGGGGAATCTGCATGGTGCTGCTCCATGGTCTCTGGCTGCAGGGCTCAGTGAGCCAAGAACCTGGCAGAGAGAGGAATGCCTGCCTGCCTGCCTGCCTGCCTGTATCCACCCACAGAGCCTAGGGAGCTCAAAATGCACCTCTCTGGGCTTTCATGGAGTTTGCTTTTGTTTTCACTGCTGTCAGTGAGGTTTTTTGACATGAACTTCAGTGAGGGCACCTGGAGTGTAGTCAAAGGTAAACAGAGGTTAGGTGAATCCACTCCCTTCTGATTTGGATAGGACAGAATTTAAGCACTTCGTCCTGACTAGCCTGACACATGAACAAGATAAACTTGCTACTTTTTAATTCATCCTTGTACTATTAAGAGTTAAAACTATTTTCAAAGTGTTTTGACTGTCTAAACCTTGGTGCAGTGGTGAGTATTGTTAGCAGTTGGTAGTCTGTGTTAGTACTGTTAATAACATTTACATTTTTCATTTGTTTTGATGTTGTTTTCAAGCTATTTATTCCCCTCTCTGGAAAATAACAGTTTTGCAGTTGGGCTTCTAGTATGCAGTCTCCTTGCTTTGTGCAAAAAGTGAGGGGAAAAAAAAATGAATTCACTTTCAGGTGTATTTAACTTTCCAGGAGTAAAAAGCAACTTTGGTAGTTTCAGTATGTCTTTTACATACAGAGTTATCACCATGAATTAATTACTTCATGTGTTAGGATGGAAGGTAAGAAAAAGTATGACTCAAGGAAGAAGCTCTGTAGATTCTTTTTTTTAACTCTTTTTAAACTCTCCTTTTCTTGCAGAAAGAGGACCTCCAAATATATGAAAAATACTGTCAGAACAAGCCAAGGTCTGAAGCTCTCTGGAGACAGTGTGGAGACAGCATCTTTTTTCAGGTGGAATTTTATTGCAGAGTAGCAGTGCAAGACCATCAAAGCCTGTTTTGCTTCTGTAGCTCTTCTTTCTTTAGAAAACATAGAGACTTCTGAAAACATACAGACTTTGCTGCATGTTTCTGATACTGATGACAGGTGTTCAGTATGTGTCAAGGTGCTCTCTACAGGTACGTAGAGTAGCAAATAGATTTCCTGGACAGAAGCCTGACTCTTCAGGCTATACCCAAACCAAAGAAGTGCTGGCCTCTTTGCAAACCCCAGATGATTGCTATCTCATAAGCAGGGCATGCCAGATTTTGACACTTAACATAAACATTAACTCTTGTTTAGATATATTTCCACTGTGGCATAACTAACCAGGAAACTTCTATGCAGATGGAACAAATTTCTCTCAGTTAATTCACAGACATATAATCTTCAGATTGCAAATGATTATGATCTTGGTGTCTTGCCTGTGCTTCAAGAAACAATTGTATCTTTCTGCCCTGTTTCTTCTTACAGGAATGTCAGCGTAAATTGGACCATAAGCTCTCCCTAGATGCTTATCTCTTAAAGCCAGTCCAGAGAATCACTAAGTACCAGTTGCTGTTAAAGGTAAGGTCTCCATGACAGTGAATTCCAATGCATAGCTTGTTTTACTTCCAGAATTGCGTATCAGCATTATTTTCTGAAGAACTATCTGTAAATAAACCTTCTCTCGCTTCTTCAACAAATAATGTTGTAAAATGGTAACAAACAGCCAAAGAAAGGACTCCTGTTTCTGAATAATTACTGCTGTTACTTAGCAGTACTTACATACTAAGCAATGACAGTATCTTATTTTATATATATACATATACTGTTATGTGTATAAAGTAAGATACTTTATATAGTAGTATTTTATTGTCTTATTTATCTTTAAACAGAAATTGAATTTGGCTTTGTTGGATCAGTGTATGGTCTTAGAGTTTAAAAACAGGAGCCGATGCTTTAAATCCTGTCTCTGACATCTGTCCCTGTTTAAACTCTTTCAGCTCTCTGAACCTGATATTTTCCCATGGTTGTGACTCAAACCTTTCAGAAGGAGCCACTCCCTTTTGGTGCTTCCATTTCAAAGACCCAGCTAGGAGCAAATTGCCTGTAACTTTTTCACAGGATGAATATGTGAATTTCCCTCTTGATTTGGTTGGAACTCTGAGTGGTCTGTGCCTGAAATTCTGATCTGAACTGGGCAACACGAAATAGTCGCCAACAAATGACATTTTTCTTAAGATGGTGGCTTAAGTTTCTGTCTTTCTCTCCTCAGTTCTTAAAAATACTATTTAGGTAATGAAGGTGAATGACATGCTGTTCTCGAGTCTCTGGACTTAATGTAGTGTGGTGTACTGTCATGAAATTTAGTGTGAGATTTGCAACAAAAATTTAGGATGCAGTTTTATTTGCTAATAGCTATCATGGCACTGGTCAAACTGTGCCAGTTTAAGCCATGTGAGGATCTGGCTGGCTGTTCACTTGTGCAGTATTTCTGTGACCTGTTCATTGACTTTACACAAAACTGTACAATCCAAATATTGAAGGGGGATATTAACAAGGATGCAACTTTACTGATTCCAGTAGATTTACATCAGTGTAATCCAGAAGTAAATTTGGCTCTATTACTTGAAACTGTTCTGTAACAAAGGAGAAAACATCAAGGTCTCCAGAAGAGCAAGACTAAACCAGATTCTACTTTTAATTTGAAATATGACTGTAAATAAAACCAAGATTAGATCAAGGAGTAAAATTCTCAGGCAAAACAGGTTGCAGCCATTGGGGTTGAAGCTGGTCCGACCAGTTTTGTACTTAGCAATAACACATTGGCACAGACATTTACTTTGTCAGGGATTATGAGATCTGTGAAGATGGGTGCACTCTT